ATCACAACACATCACATCACAACTCAACACAACACAACACAACACATCACATCACAACTCAGCACATCACAACTCAACACAACACATAACAACTCAACACAACACATAACTCAACACATCACAACTCAACACATCACATCACATCACAACTCAACTCAACACAACACAAGTCAACACAACACAACACAACTCAGCTCAACACAACTCAACATCACAACTCAACACAACTCAACACAACACAACTCAACACAACTCAACACATCACATCTCAACTCAACACAACACAACACATCACAACTCAACACAACACAACACATCACATCACAACTCAGCACATCACAACTCAACACAAAACATAATAACTCAACACATCACAACTCAACACATCACATCACATCACAACACAACACAACACAACATATCACAACTCAACCCAACTCAACACATCACATCACAACTCAACACAACTCAACACATCACATCACAACTCAACCCAATTCAACACATCACAACTCAACAAAGCTCAACTCAACACAACACATCACAACTCAACTCAACTCAACACATCACAACTCAACACATCACAACACAACACAACACATCACATCACATCACAACACATCACAACTCAACACAACACAACACATCACATCACAACTCAGCACATCACAACTCAACACAACACATAATAACTCAACACAACACATAACTCAACACATCACAACTCAACACATCACATCACATCACAACTCAACTCAACACAACACAAGTCAACACAACACAACACAACTCAGCTCAACACAACTCAATATCACAACTCAACACAACTCAACACAACACAACTCAACACATCACATCACATCTCAACTCAACACAACACAACACATCACAACTCAACACAACACAACTCAACACATCACATCTCAACACATCACATCACAACACAACTCAACTCAACACATCACAATACAACTCAACACAACACAACATATCACAACTCAACCCAACTCAACTCAACACATCACAACTCAACTCAACCCAT